GTAAGGATATTTCATGGACAATGTAGTTCAAGGACTTGCGCTTCCCTGGAACCGGCAATATGTGCCTCTAAATTCACGACAGTCAGAATGGCCCGTGAACGAGTCTTTGAACGAGATCGTCGTCACATTGCGTCGTCGATGTTGAATCGAGCCATTTATCGCGTCTCTTTTATTTGCTATATCTGAGTAGGTATTGGTCGTATCCTAGAAAATGAGTGGAGCGTTTATTAGAGCGAGGTCGAAGAATCGATTCGATGCTTTGTCTTCCTGCGTCTTCATCACCACAACCTTGCCCGCCTTTATTCCCAAACCGAATGCATTGCTATTTACATGTAACAAGACTCTCTCTCCCACATGCACGACTCGTTCTATCTACTCGTGGTCTCCATTACTCAATTCAGCGGCGTGGAATGTATCAGCTAGTTGCCAAAGGGCACTTACGCATTATCCCTCCAGCTAATTGAGGGCGGTACGACATCAAACTGCCTCTAAAGGTCGATAGGGTCTCATTTACAGAGTCTAAGGGCCCGGACACAGACCAAACCAGGTGTGGACGAGTTTGAGACACGAACTCTAAGGTGGAATAGGAAGTTGTGAGACTAATAGCGTGACTGACGACTTGAATCTGTAGTGAATTGGTGTAGAAACGATGGCGCGTCCTTTTTCGACCTCTCATGCTGCCGGCGGTATAGCTCAGTAAGTGCTTGACCCGAACTAATTCGTCTTCGTATTATCGTTAACCCATGAGACTTCAAGTGATGAATATGCGTCAACAATAGTGGGAAGTAGTTCATTTCGTCATCTTGGAGGTTCTATTCGTCAGGGAGAGGTTCAGCCAGACACGTCCTGTCGCAATTGATCAGGAAGTTGGGTGTAGAGCCCTATTGCTCGTCAATTCAGGGACATTTCACGTTCTCGATTGGTTATTATTTCATATGTAACTCGTCATATATGGTCTACTGTATAATATGATACAAAGGAGAGGTAGCAGCAAAATCACCGACCTTAGTGCTTCCATTGAAATCAAATTTATCTTATATTCACCTTTTCTGAGACGTAATACTCCTTAGATCCGAGTTGTTGGTAATCTTGCAATCTTATTCAGCTGCCGGCCAGTCACTAAAGCTTGCGAGCTGAGGAGGCCTCAGGGGAAGCGAGCGCGGAAGCAGTGACGATTAGGAGAAGGCCCTTCCCTCTCCCGTGTCCGCACTTTGCTACGCCACGTATCGAGAGCAAGTAATTATTGCCATTTGAGAGAGAAGTACACGTCGACATCTTTGACAGGAGTCCTTCTCCCTCCTCCTCTCCGTTTGCCGCACTTTTCTCTTCCAATTTGGGATTTGATATTCGCTGGGCCGTCCCGTCAATTTGGTGATGGTGGAAAAGCCGGTGGAGGACTTTTCTCGAACAGGATGGGAATTTGCCCTCGTCACCTGTGCTACCATCCACTCCATGGGAGGAGGAGGAGGAGGGAGGATACTCACCTGGCACGGGTTACCCGGTTGGCTCACCGCCATGGCGTCGATGTCGAAAATTCTCCAAGTCCAAACTCAGTTGAATGACATGTATTTCCCTGGTCACTATACCCGTCCGTCTGCTCCGTCAATACCTTACATCCAGTCGCCTTCCACAGGTAACCCAGTAGGCCACGACGGTATTCTATTTTCTTAACCTACTGACTATTGAATGCTACCACATTCACTCCTGCTCCTCCTCTGCTGTCCCATTCTCCTCTTCATTCCCCAACAATGTCATTCGAGCAGACCGACAGTTCAAATCCTGTATTCCTGAATTTTCCAAGCTAGAATGATGCCCTTAGCAGAACAAATACACGTTCCTACTCATCTGTATGTTCTTATTTTTCTCGTTCCCTTTACAATGCCTGTATTGTCGGTATTTGCTGAGTAGGCGACCACAATGCACCTCTAGGTCTTCACCCCCACAATGTTTCAACATCCTTTTGGGCCAATATCTCGTGATTTGATGGGTTTGGAGGCTTGTTCTCTGGGACGGCTCATCTGGATGGCAGGGCGGTGGTGCAAGTTGCGTCGTCCAAAATTGGCCCAGTCCAAACTCATGCCCGACCACTCCACCGACCAACTCACAAAGCCTCTGCAAAGGTTCTCCCGCCCTCTACGGCTTCAGGTAAGTCAATAACTTCAACTTTCGTTTCGTATATCGCTATTGGTGTACTATGGGTGCCAGTGCTGACTCTATGCTCCTCAGCGGTGGTGCCTCTTGGATCAATAAGTCCGCTACTCCATTCCCAGGCAACCGAAAGTTAAAAAAGGGATTTCCTATATTCTAATTCCCTTCTTCAATGATATTTGCTAATCTCTCGTTCTCTATTGCTGGGCGACAGACGATTTAGCTATAGAGCACGCACGTGACTTGGACTTACATTCCCCCCCCAGTACTCAAATATCGACAGGAGAATGACCTGAGAAGGACCGAACAATAAGCAGTCGAAAGGAACGCAAATTGCCACAAGGGCGTCAAGACTCTACCATCCCCAGCACGCCCCTCTCGACTCACATTCATGTTGTTTCACTCACCCAATCCCACTCAAATTTCGACTCCTACTCCTCAAATGCTCCATTTCGCCCTCCATGTTGTCGTCATCATTGCTAGGCCCCCTTTCAGGTCAACAGAGCTTGTCGATTCTTTGTATTGGATTGTATGCTCATTTGTATGTATCGATACTAATTATGAATAAATGATTATACACCACAAAGCTAATCTAAGTGTAAAGTCCGTATTTTCTATCTGAATTTCACTATCAAATGAGCTGGGGGAAACCGGTTAAAATGAACAGATCGAGTTCGGTCCTATCATAGAGATTTGAACGTATTTACGTATCTCTATGGCATGACAGCCCGGACTGTGTGGTTGGAACGGGAGAATGTGGGTCGACCGGATTCCCTAACTCTGCACCTGGCTATTCCGTCTTGTTTACACGAGCAGCCCAGTCAGCCCAGCCGATCG